GCCTATCTTGACGACCTGTAATATGCCTCGGTGGACCAGTTGGCCTTCTTCTTGTTCCGCTACCTTCTTTTATCCACACACGACACACACCCATGACCGTCTTTGCGGTACAATTGACACGGCGACCAATTTTGCAATAAGACAAACCAACATCTCGATAGGCAATAATTCTACCCGTCAAAGCCGCCAGCATGGTGACACTTTAGACGTGTTCGAACTCGAGGCATTTTGCTATGTTTAACACTAGTAAATAAAAGGGCAATAACTGAAAATATCTGTACTACTCAGCTCTCAGAAACTGCTTTCTTCGCAAAAACTAAGAGATAACATTTTAACAATGGTAACCAAGAACAAAGGTAAAAGGTTGACATTGTTGCCTCAGCATACTTCAAATATAGTCATTTTGTTGCCAAAAAACCAAGTTGAATAAATTGTTTTTTCTGGGTGTAACACTTTAATATCGCTGAGTATATACAGGGTGTTTCACAACTTATACGACAAATTTTAACCACATATGTACTGTTACGAAAGAAGTTGATTTCTCAAAAAATTTAATAAAAGTTCTACAGAAATCGAAATAATAGAATAATACAGCTTAAAAGCTCACTTACTTATAAAAGCTGTTCCAAATTGTTTCCATTGACTGCAATGCAAGCTTGGGGCGTCTAATCAATTTCAGCGCACTAATTCAAATGTACCTCCTTCCTGATGTGTCTGAATGTTCAAATATTTGGCAGCCACTGTGATTCGGTCACGCAATTCTTCAATGTTCTGAACTGGAGTACGGTATACCTCGATTTTCAAGCATCCCCATAAAAAGAAGTTCAGAGGATTTAGACCGAGAGACCGTGGAGGCCCTGCGATTGGTTCAACCCTTCCGATCAAACGTATCTGGTATACCTGATTCAAAAAATCATGAACTTCTAAACGAAAATTCGGTCCCATCGTGCAGAAACCACATCCGTGTTCGGACCAATGGCATATCTTCAAGAAGGACCGGCAAATCATTCCGAAGAAATTCCAAATACTGCTGATCATCCATTCGATCTGGCAATATGAACGGTCCAATTAGACGTTCATCGACAAAACCTGCCCACATGTTTAAAGAAGAACGATGTTGGATGTGTGTCTGGATCACTGCGTGAGGATTCTGGAAGGATCAAACGGGTGTATTATGAAGATTGGTTGACCCATTACGAGTAAAAGTAGTTTCATCGGTGGCCAAAATACCAGCTGTAAAACGGGCATGTCGAGCATGTTTTTTGAATTTTTGAATTTTCTTCCAAAATCTCCAAAATTTCGTCTTCGGCATTGAAAACGCGTTGAGGGCCAACCCGACCCCCTTCCACTCCACGTCTGGGGCGCAAATATCCACTAGCACGTGCATGTAACACAATTGAACTAAATGTTTCGTGATGTGCCTATTCGGAAATCGGTGTACATACAATCGAGCAGCCGCTCCCGAATTTTGCCCTAACTCCTCATTAGTGTACACATGTGCCATTTTTATTAATAGATAACTAAAAACATAAACTCGCAAAATGCTTTCCTATTTAACTTCACAAAAATCGACCGTTCTTCATTCAGATCACCCACGATACGAATTAAATCTTATTTACACATTCTTATCAGTATGAAAAGCAAAAAATTCATGATATTTTGTTTTCGACAGTTGTTTGGCACATTTTGCTACAATAAATTATTAATGCGTGTTCTAATGTCACGATGATGAATGCAAAATACAGATATTTATTTTTCAATTTATTATTAATACTCAGGTGCATAACTTAAGTTCCGTAGGACTTTTTCAACGTTCTTTATTTTTGAGAAATCGACTTCTTTCGTAACAGTGCATGTGGTTAAAATTTGTTGGATAAGTTGTGAAACAACCTGTATACTTTGGAAAGGTTAGTCTCTCACACATGGCGATGTCTGTGTTCTCCTACATCCTCAAATAATTGGCTACACCATCTATGATACAAATAACGTCTTCAAAGTGTATATAGTAAATAAAGGAACAGCTGCGACAAATTCTCATAGATGACGCATATCTCATTTTATCTCGGATAATCTTTTGAACGTAGTATTAGGTTAGCTATCTTCTACGTTATTTACTGGTAGAAAAAAAGTGTCCACAGCTCGTTAAGTGTAGGAAGAGATATGAGGATTTGCTGGGATTGCGAACAGGAGAGAGGGAGAACGCATTCGGAGCAAAAGAGATGGCACGTACAACACGTGCCATTCGATCTCCAATGGTACAGCCTGCGACCTAAGGCTGGGCGCATACATTCGTTTTCCGCGTTCGATTTCCGAATTCATTTTCCGTATTCGGAGACCCGAATACCTCACACGCTAATAAAATACATTGACTGCCGCAAGCAATCCCGTGCGTTCGTAAAAACGGAACGGATAAAACCTAGTGACGTTACTCGGACAGCAGCACTGGCATACATTTGTAATGTACTGCCGCACACAGTCGGAAATTTCCATCCAGAACCGCGCAGTGACGTGTGTATTGGACGTCACGTCGTTGCATCAAGAGCTCGAATGCATCAGGACAATGTGTGAAGCAGAAGAACTAACATTGGCTGTTGAAAAGCACTCCTGCTTGTGGGACATTCATAACAAGGACTACCAGAATAGTAAAATTACTTTTCTTTCACTTTTATTACAAAGACAACTGCCCACTGTACTTTTATGATTGTAAATTGGTAATCCTTTCGTTATATAGGTATGATATTTCTCCTGTCGGCATCATGAAATACTGAGCAAACTCGTCTTTTATGCTTCGGCCTCGGTTTGTACATCTATGTTGTGTATCCAGGCATAATCTCGTCCAGGTATCTTGCTTCCTTAATTTATCACGTATGCCATTATGAAGTTCATCAAAAGATTGTATTGACATCCTGTAGAAATCAAAGAATTTATCAGGATGTGCTCGTAACTTTGCTCTTTTTAGATAAAATGGACTCTCGTAGATTCTCTGACTGTTTAACGGATGCATCCAATACCGACATTTCTTTTACTTCTATTTTGATAATGATAATAGGAGTGCAGTCGCGATTAAATCATCCTTCTCCATCGCCAAGCATTCACAGAGCCGCCACTGAACATACTGGTAGTATAATATTCACTTCAAAAAATTGAACTTTTGCGCTAGGCTCACGGAATTCCGAATTGGAATTCCTGATTAAGAAACCGTAAACGGAAAACAAATGTATGCGCCTAGTCTAAATTAATCGAATAATTTCAATGATGGAATACGTATTATGTGAAGCCTGCTCTTTTTAATCGAAATTGTTGGTATGTGTCAAATTTTTTAATATCTTTTTGTGAGCCCAGTATTCTAAATTTGGTAACTTCATTAAAGTTATTCTATCATTGTCATTGTCAGCGTTAGATCACCAATTTCACGAGCACCCGATCTTAAGCTATCTATTGCCTGTAGTATTTCATGTGGCTTGATAACTCTTAGAAAAAGATATATAAAATTGAGTTTGAGAATATATAAGGTACAATTAACCAGAAGCATTTAAAAATTTATATCTAACAAAATTAAGTGATATATACTACTTCTTCAATATTTTCAAAATTGTATAACACATTAGTTTTACAGAAATAGTTTTATGTTTCCATACCTATTCGCTACCAAAGAAAGGCTAAAAATTGGATTTATGTGATTGTTTATATAAATGAGATAAACATAGAAATAATGAAACCAAAACAATTTATTCCATAAAATAAGCATTGCACGCTAGGTAGCTATAAGACTGAAATTGATTGGTACTCACTCTATTTTTAATTATTAATAATTTCAATTAATAAACAATCGAATGAAAAGTGAGGTCAGAAAAGTAACATCGTAGTAGATACAGTTGGCAATACTTTAAAGATTTATGAAGTTTCACAGGGGAACAAATCATGAAAGTTCGGAATCGGACTACTACTTAAATTTAAATCTTCGGTTTCGCTATCGTTATCTTCGTCTAGGTTTATTATATAAACACAACTAAGTCGATTGCGGTTCCCATTTCCATATACTGCCTCTCAAAACCTTTGACATGCTCACATCGCTTTTTCACAATCTTGAGATTAAAATCTACATTTCTTTCAGCCACATATTGTTTCAAAGATGCTCATCCCAACTCAATTAGGGTCAAGTCGGGGTGATACGTGCACGTAAAACAATTGAACTAAATGTTTCATACAAACGAGAAGCCCCTCGCGAATTTTGCCCTGCTTCTCCATAACATAAGCTCGTAAAATACTTTCTTATTTAACGTCACAAAAATCGACCGTTCTTCATTCAGACCACCCACGATACATATTAAACCTCATTTTCAGGTTCTTATCAGTATGAAAAAGCAAAAAATTCCTGGTATTTTGTTTTCGTCAGTTGTTTGATACAATATTTGCTACATTAAATAATTTATTAATGCGTGTTCTAATATCACGACGATGAACGCAAAATACAGACATTTATTTTTAAATTTATTATTGAAGCTCAGGTTTATAACTTAATTTCTGTAGAACTTTTATAACATCAGCTTATTTCGTAACAGTGCACATGTGGTCAAAATTTGTCGGATAAGTTGTGAAACATTATTCTACATGTAATCCTTCAAAATGATACTAAAACCTCATCTTCCCTATTTAATGCATATCGGCATCCTCATCCTCCACTTGCCCCACTCTCCTGGTGACATCCCTGACATGTCCACAGCCACAATAAAAACGTACGTTCGAACGCAAAAATAGCACAAACCCAGAAATTTTTATTAATAAATAACTAGAAACAATCTCGTAAAATACTTTCTTATTTAACTTCACAAAAATCGGCGGTTCTTAATTTTGATCACCCAATAAAAAATACAGATATTTATTTTTTAATTTATTATCAAACTCAGGTTTATAACTTAATTTCTGTAGGTCTTTTATTACTTTTTTTTGAGAAATCAACTTCCTTCGTAACAGTGCATGTAAACAAACTTGCGTTGTTGAATCGAACAAGGACATTTTCAAGCAATAATTACAAAACAAAACGTGACAGGGCAGTACTTGAAATGCCGTACCAAGTAAATAGTAAGTATTTTTCTTATTTTTTTTACGTTTTCGGTGCTGTTTTACGGCAAATCCACTTTGTGTCAAACGTAGTTGTATCTGAAAAGGAAAGTACCAACATTCAAGACGCCGTGACTGTATATGATGCAATGACGGCTGGGCTATAACTGCTATAGTTAGAGCGTTAGAGCCTAACAATGATACAAAAGTGTTGCTCGATTAGATGTCCCAAAACCCTAAGGATCATCTCTTTAGTTTTCCTCCAATGGACAGGCCCTGTACACAAGGTTTCACTTTGAATCCAAGCTACAGGCATACCTGCAGGTAGTGGGCGGTCTAACATTCGCGCTTAGATGTCTTACAAACCAAATTATAGAGGTTCACTTACAAGATTATATCCGGGCGTTTATGTCAGACCAACTTCACACAGCTTCACCCGGGTCGTACTCCGGTTCGGACTGAGAGGGACAGCTTCATTATCAAAGTAACCCAAATGGAAAGCGATCCGATGTCACCGTGACCACTGCATGACTCTCAGTCAGGAACAGTTTCAAGTATCCTTGAGGGGAGCTTAATTTACTCCCCGTCTAATTGAGTTACTGCTATTGAATGCGTACAAACGTACGTTTTTATTGTGGTTGTGGATATGCCAGGGATGTCACCAGGAGAGTGGGGCAAGTGGAGGATGAGGATGCCGATATGCATTAAATAGGGAAGAAGACATTTTGGTACCATTTTGAAGGATTACATGTAGAATAATATACAGGGTGTTTCACAGCTTATAAGACAAATTTTAACCACATATGCACTGTTACGAAAGAAGTAGATTTCTCAAAAAAAAAAAAATTTAATAAAAGTCAGAAATTAAGTTATAAGCCTGAGTTGCAATAATAAATTGAAAAATAAATATCTGTATTTTGCGTTCATCGTCGTGATATTAGAAACAAGCATTTGTGATTTATTTATTGTATCAAATATTGTATCAAACAACTGACGAAAACAAAATACCAGGACTTTTTTGTTTTTTCATACTGATAAGAACCTGTAAATAAGGTTTAATATGTATCGTGGGTGATCTGAATGAAGAACGGTCGATTTTTGTGAAGTTAAACAAGAAAGTATTTTGCGAGTTTATATTTTTAGTTATTTATTAATAAAAATGGCACATGTGTACACTAATGAGGAGTTAGTGGACATTGTTTTAGCGTACGGAGAAGCAGGGCAAAATTCGCGAGCGGCTTCTCATCTGTATGCACACCGATTTCCGAATAGGCATATACCACATCACGAAACATTTAGTTCAGTTGCTTTACGTGCACGTGCTAGTGGAGACATGCACCCCACACGTGGAGTGGATGGGAGTCGGGTTCGTCCACAACGCTTTTTAAATGCCGAAGACGAAATTTCGAATATTGTGAAAGAAAATCCGGGAATAAGCACAAGGCAGTTAGCCCAACAGGTCCCAGAAGTGTCACATGCAACAGCGTGGCACATATTACATATTATTTTATTATCTCGATTTCTGTAGGACCTTTATTACTTTTTGTTTAGACAAATCAACTTCTTTCGTAACAGTGCATATGTGGTTAAAATTTGTAAAACATCCTGTATAGTATATTAAAAAGGTAATACTAACAATTAATTCAAATCGTGTTTTAAGCTATCAGTTTAAATCTTCCCATGAAAACGAACATAGCGGGTGCTTTAAATTTGACTCTCACCATTGGGGTCTTGAAGACGGTGGAAGATCCGTAGTCGGCTAAATGAAGGCAAAGATGCGCATTTAGGTTACTAAGTAAAATGCACTTAGAGTGTCGCAATTCGGCGTATTTCCGTAGATAGATGAAAGAAACAGAATTTTCCCAAAATTATTTTTATTTCTTACTGAATTTATTTGAGCTGGGATTTCAAAATAAAAATTAAATTGCATTGCCACTTTCTCCCCTCTACAATATCGCCTAATTAATATTTTTTCTGTGAGGGTCGTTCCTTATTCTCCATCAACTTTATTTTTTCTTATAGACGCCATTTTTGTACAGGTGATACATTGATATTGAGCCCGTTCAGCCAACGTAGAGCGGTCCAGAAACCGTGGAATAGCTTTGACAGTCGTAATCTTTTTCAAAATACTATCTATCAACTATGACAGTAAAGTGAAAACTGCTGTTAAAATGACAAAGCTATCCCATTCCTACTGCTATTCAGCATAAAAGCACTGCACTGCTGACCCACTCTACGTTGGTTGAACCTTTCCTTTACCAAACACAGTTATTTCAATATCACAGGATTTGATAAGTAGGCTTTGAAATTATGAGATATTCATTTGTTTCATAATATCAGCCAAGTATTCTTTCAGCTTTTAAGAACGAGGCATAGGTTAACAGTCCCGATTTAATTGATGTGCTACTGTACATATCATGACAAAGCTTTAAATGTCTAAAAAGTAATGTTACAACTTTTACTTACTATCTAAAAGTATTATTCAAAACATTACTATAACAGAATTATTTTATGTAACTGGTAAGTTAAATAAAAACCTCGACGATGTCACATCTTTTATTCAAATACTATTAAAGTGTCATGTAGAGCCCCTCCATCGTTCTGAAGTAGAGATTGTTATTGTCGATAAATGGGCAAATTATCTTAATGTTCTCTAAGCACGCGTCTCAAAACTTGAAGCCTTGGTGATTCAATCGGATAAACATTTGATGAACTGTAATGTTCAAAGCTGAATATAAAAATATCAGTTTTTTCAATTACTTGGGTTACATAACGTAACTATAGGTTAAATTATACTGTTTTGGTATTAAAATCAAAAACTCTATTTACCTATACAAAAATTCAATATGGCTTTCATGATAAAAATAGAGAACAAACGAAACGTCAAATTGAAATTCTATGAGAGTAAAAAAGGTGGCAAGGCTAATAATATAGATTTTACTTAAAAATCCCAGCTCAAAGTCACAAAAAATAAAAACGATTTTGGGAAAAGTCGGCTTATATAATCTATCTGCGGATATACTCAGAATTCTGAAACTGTGTGTGCCGTTTGCTTAATTACCTGAATGCACAACTTTGTCCCATTTAACCGACTTCCTTTCTCTTACCGTTTCCAAGAACCCAATCATGAGAGTTGAATTTGAAATACCCTGTATATAGATATTTAAATTCAGAAGAATAAAGTATCATTGCTATGATGCTAGGGCATAAAGTAGATAGAAAAATAACACGTGTCGCGGCACAAGGTGTTGAAATTATAATTTCGAAATCAAAATAAATGTACCTATATCTTCGGAATGGATTAAGATATTCTCTTTAGATTTCATAGAAGTCGAACTGATATTATAGTCAACACCTGCAAAAAATTGTCTCGCCTAACACTAGTATAGTGGCGGGAAAATTTGGAAATTTTGACCGCTACAGAAGAAAAAATAAAAATATTCTCTACTACACTGTTTTGAGACATATATTACGTTGTAAAATAAAGTATTTAATTTTACATGCATTACCTCTTGAGAGTTTGATTTGGATATGCGAGGTAAAATTCATATAAAATTGTATGTAGTTAATTAGGAGAGTAATCCTAACTCACCGCAGCGTTATTCGTGTCCATGTTTTGTCCTTATTGAGTCTCATCGGTGGTAAATAAATGTACCCTTGTATTCTGGTAACCGAACATTTTATTTATTTGTTAATTTTGGATATACAGGGACTTACGCTATAAATTGTCACTCCCTCTAATTTTTTTTTGCCATGAGGAAGGAATGTTCTGTACAAAGGTTGTAGGGTCTGAAATAAAGCCTTACGCCCTACGCAGTTGTATTTTTTCAGTGGAATATTTTGAATAATTTTAGTCAAAATGATTGCCGGTTTTCTTTTGATTCCAAATATATGTGACTTATCATACTTGCTTTCATCAGTCAAAAAACTTGTGTCACTAATTGATGTGTATAATAGTTCAAACCAGTTTGCACCTAGTCACTTACGCAATCTGGTACAGAGCCTGACACTTGATTTACCTAATGTCATGGAAATGAGTACAATAGATCATATATATTTTGAATGGGATAAAAAGCGACTTTTATTTAAAAAATACAGCTTTATCCTATTGCACATTTCTGAAGTTTATATTAGACCATACAACCTTTGTATATAAAGCGTGGTCCATCTATCGTTTTTTTTTGAGTTACTGGTTTTTTGGGATATGTCAAGACTTATTTCGCATCTGATTTGACAGAACATCAGTCATATCATTCCGATTAACGAAAATGGTTGTGTATTCGCTTGAACAACGCTGGGAAATATTAAAACAATATTTCGAAAGTGGTGGTAATGTTGCAGATTGTGTCCGAAAGTTACGTGCAAAAATGGGAAGAAATGAAGCACCGTCAGCACCGTATGTGAGGTATTTTGTGCAAAAAGTTCGTGAAACTGGTCTTCTTATTGACAAACCAACACGTGAAAGACCGAAAACGGTGCGTACACCCGAGAATATCGATGCTGTAGCTGAGAGTGTGGCAGAGTCTCCAAGCACATCAACGCGCCAATGTTCTCAACAATTGAACATTTCACGCACATCATTAGGTCGAATTTTGCATAAAGACCTTGGTATGAAGGCGTACAAAGTTCAATTGGTTCAGCAATTGAAGCCAACTGACCATCCAATGCGTTTTCGCTTCGCTTCATGGGCCTGCAATCAACTTGATGAAGATGTTGATTTTGGTCGAAAAATCATCTTTTCAGATGAAGCGCATTTTTATCTTGGCGGCTATGTTAATAAGCAAAACTGCCGCATTTGGGGTTCAGAGAACCCACACGCAATCGAAGAAAAGCCAATGCATCCAGAACGAGTGACTGTTTGGTGCGGATTTTGGGCTGGTGGCATCATTGGCCCATTTTTCTTTGAAAATGAAGCCGGAGCAGCAGTTACTGTGAATGGTGAGCGTTACCGTACCATGATAAATGAATTTTTCTTTCCACAAATTCAAGATATTGATGTCGGTAACATCTGGTTTCAACAAGACGGTGTTCCGTGTCACACAGCAAACGCTACGATTGCTCTTCTGCGAAGTGTTTTCGGTGATCGCATTATCAGCCGAAATTCTGATGTTGTTTGGCCGCCTCGGAGCTGTGATTTGACCCCATTAGATTATTATTTATGGGGTGCCATTAAAGACCAATGTTATGCCAACAAACCAGCAACAATTGGCGAAATAAAAGAGAACATACGCGCTGCCGTTGCTGAAATACAGCCACATACGATTTGAAAATGTGGTCAAAAATTGGACTGACCGTATGGGCTACTGCAAAGCCAGCCGCGGCAGTCATTTAAATGAAGTTGTATTCCATACTTAATCGGAAGGATTGTACTTTCAAATAAAAAAAAAAATTGGAAAAATATTTAGTAGTTTTTTTTATAGCATTTTTAAAAAAAAAAATTAAATGGACCACCCTTTATATATATAGAAAAAATGATCATGCGGAGACAGGTATATAGCAAAAAAAAAAATAGGAAAATAACGTGCAAAATCCGCAAAAAGAAGGAGAGTGAATTCGAACAGAAGATAATATAGGTAACCCGAGCAATACGTATTTCTGCTTGTTGGCTTCATCCGGCCCGAAATGAATGAACATATGCAACCACAAACGTATATACACATGGCCATACATCCGGAAAAGGGTGTAACCTGGGGGAACGAAGATGGTGGGAAAAAATGACACACCAAGTCCCCAACAAGAGCCAACCTACACATTGTAGTATAAAATGGCTAGAAGACCCCGAATTTGCAAGGCGACATCTAACCACAACCACGCGGCCGGTTATAGCCACTTGTTGGTACTTCAAGCCCAAAGGATCTTTGTCTTTTTTTCTAAATGGCCGTGGAAACAAAGTTAAGAGTGGGGTCAATTTATAGCGGGTCACCGCGTACCTTCTATCCTAGAAATACTGCTACGTTTCTTGAACCACGCTGTAGTTGTAATGATTCTTGTTATGATATATGTTATGTTTGCTGCCATCAAGTTCGATGTGGTCCATGAAAGCTGCCAATAAAAGTTATTAATTTGGGTTCTCTTCTTTTCAGATGATAAAAATGATGGTAACAGTTGTGATGGTCTACACGATATGCTGGCTACCATACAATCTTCTATTGGTAAGTTATTTTACATAATTATGTGTTATTCAAAATAAATGTTTGTCTCTTAAGATGCCTTTGTGAACTCTATTTTTGTTGGTTCTCCAAACACCTGAAAATCATATTTTCTAAAAAATTATACCCCTCACTATATCGCTTTAGCTACAATCGGCTACCTAGTAACGCTCAAGTGTTCCTCCTTTTTTGGCCAGCTAGGTCTGGAGACATTTCGCCCATTGGAAATTGTGGTGACTCCATCTCTCGGGAGCCCCACGGAACAACAGACACTACAACCCTCGACAGGTAGTTCCGTGTTGATCCTCGCGTGCGTAACTGAAGACATATCGACGCTTAAGTTGACAATTGACGGCTAATAAGGAGAGTAAAAAGAACGTTGGACCTTTGGTTTCCCTATCGAATGGCATGTATACTAAGTGACATATAAATCCGAACACCCAGTTTAAATGGTTTTATTTTAATAAAAGTTGGTGAATGTATTTATCTTACTGCAAATAACAAGTGAAAATTTTCAGCCTTATCAGTTGGACATTCCGGTTTTTATACTGCTTTTTTTTAATTCACTAACGCTCTAAAAATGAATATTTCAGCCGCAGTAAAGAATCAACGTTGGCGGATTTTGGTTCTTGACATCCTTTACGATCGGTTACGATGCCTAGAGTACGGAGACCTGTACGATTTCGTCAACTTGGTGAGTTTGATAGGGGCCGTATAGTGGGACTTCGGGAAGCTGGACTTTCTTTTCGGGTAATTGCAGTTAGAGTGCAAAGAAGTGTAGACACTGTGGTTAGGTGTTGTCAGGCATGGCTTCGAGAAGGCCGTACGCAAAGAGCAAGGGGCACTGGACGCCGCCGTAGAACAACAGACCGTGAAGATCGCCGCCTAAGATTATTGGCCTTAAGGGACCGTTTCTCCACTACCAGGTCCATTGCAAATGAATGGTTTGCAGAACACGGAAGACCTATTGGCATGCGAAGTGTTTACCGACGAATGAGAAGTTTCGGATTTATATGTCACTTAGTATATATCTTATAATCCTCCTTGTTTGTCTGGCCGCCAAATGAAACCACATACTATGCTTGAAATCCTATTTACTGACGACGTTCCGGCCACCACTGCGACGTTTTTCAAGTTGTCTTTTTTTCTAAAAGGCCATATATCTCTTTAAGTTACGCGGTGTTACAACTTAATCAACGATATGTGGGATGTCTGACATCTGGGCGAATGTATATCGTATTAAGGTGGCCAAGCACATTATTGGAGAAATCCACCCGTACAGAAAAGCTTTTCACTTCAACATTTTATCACTACTTCGTCTTGCTCATGTCTGACTACACAAAATTTCATTCAAACAAAATCGGTTTTGGGCGACACTCCGCTGTTTGGCCGCTAAATCAAAACAGTATTCTTGAAATACTTGATGATAGTGGCCGAAACGTATTTCAGGTATATGTGGTTCGATTTAGCGACCAGACAGTGGACTCATCAGTATGAAAACCACAAGATAAACTTCAGGCTATAGTCTTAGAGTAGTCCAAAGAATCACAGGTAGACCTTTTGCTCCATGTTTTGAAAAGAAGAATTGATTTTTTTCACAAACGTGTTAGATATTTCTCAAATGAAAAAGTGTTTTTCGTATCCTCAACGATTAGTAAGTTATGACGGGACTACGGAGTATGTTTGGCTCAGCAAAAAATAGTGAGAGATACTGGGGCGCTGTAATTCTTTTTTTGGTTATTGTGAACTCTTTTGAGGCTAATTAGATGGAATATAATGAATGCTTTCCACTTCGAAGACTTTTTGCACTTGGTTCTAGATTTTTGCTTCTCATTTCATAATAAAATGTATTATATTGTTTATTTATTTTTATTTAGGATTAATTATAAATATATATATATAAATATATCTAAAACTAAGTTATGCTTGAATAAAAACAATTACATTAACGTTTAGTGCTCCCCGTACCCAAGGTCCCCGGGAGAGTAACTGAGAAATCAAATTTGAAAAACAAGTATAATTACACGCTACAACATTTACATATTTCATTATTTGAATAAAGGTACATTCAAAAAACAAATAGCAACTAATACGAAATCTACCTTTCTGTTTCCATGATAAGGAAAAGTTCAAAGGGCACAAAATGCGATTAAGAGAACAATTCCAAACCACGTTATTCATGCTCCTTCCTTTCTAGAGAGGTTATATCATTTTTCTCTGCAAATCGATTTCATTTCATGTCGGTGATCGACGTCCATTCTTGATATCACAAATATATGTATTATTTACTACTAAAGAAACTGGTCCCCTTCAGACGACCTAGGCAATTAGATAGTTAAACCGATGGAGTATCGCCTTTAAAATCTGGCAACACCGATTCTGTTATACATTGTAGCATTCCTACATACGGCTGATGTATCATTTTTCCATATCTTTGCAGATCCTGAGCGAGAGCATAAGCGAGAGACTGATGATGTTCCTGTACTTTCCTTTGCACGGGCTGGCGATGTCCCACGCCTGCTACAACCCCATCATCTACTGCTTCATGAACACCCGTTTCAGGGACGGATTGTACGCGTTGCTGCGCGTCCTGCCTGGTTTCAACCGGTGCGTATCAAGAACACACTCCGGTGCCGGGTTTCCGCATGCAGGTAAAAGTCAACGCCTGTCGGAGATGCTCTGCTCAATGCCTTCACGTCAATTTATACATATTTCTCGTACAAGTGAAATCTACTACTATAATCAACCTCTGCGAAAGTGAATAGCAGCTGTCTGTTTGAACTTTAAAAATATCTCTGTTCTAGCGATATTCAAATTTAAAAGAAAAAAATCTGGAAAAATCAGCCAACAAGTTGCATATTTTTCAGTATAAGGTAGTACTTAATGATAAGCGTAATTACAAGTGCGTATTCCTGAACGGCATTTGAGCAGAAATGTTGTGTCCTAAGAAATCTGGTGGTAGTTATCGACGTTTGAAAATGAATGACCGGAGCGAGTTGAAAAACTTGTTCTCGATTCACCCAGAGGGAGGCTGGATCTGCCTATTGGGGGTGGGGTCTACTTCTATATGAAAGCGATTACCATATGTTTGTAATTCCTTGAAGCCGTACTTGCATGTTGCTGGGATATTAACTTTATTCATTGTAAAGAATTTTCTCCAGCCGGTGCAGGTGTTTTACCTTTGGAAGACATGTTTACTGTTAATAATAATAACAACAATAATTACTGTTTACGCTTCTCAGAGAAAGAAAACCTTCTCAAAATGTATAAAACTGTTTACATCCTTACTTAGACGTCTTTTATCTACTTGTTCAAGCTATTGAAGTTTAAAACTAATTAACCTATAATTTTCCCAAGTCGAATTTCACCATCATTAATATTTGACCGTCAGTTTAGACCAATGGAAAAAAAACCTTATCGGAATATAATTTGACGGAAGCTATCAAAGCTCTCTGAATGTCAGTGGTTTCTACTGAATTATTGAATAAAATCGTAAAAAAGCGATTTTATTATAAACAAGAGCAGTTTTTGATTCCAACATGTTGCTTTTGTACAGAGAAAACAGGACAACTTTCACGTATTTTGATTTTTCTTGTGAATGTAAATATAATACATCGGTTATCCCTTTAGCCTATGGGAATGCAAGAAATGATAGGTCGATTTTCTAGCTGTTAAATTCAATAGCAGGTTCGGACGTTTGTTAATGCATGGCAATGTCGAATTTGTCAAGTTCAATATACTGAGTGCTTATATACGTATGTTATCATTATAGCTACATACCTGTATTTTGCATGACAAAGAATATAAAATGTATTCCAGTCAACTCCTCATCTTTCGTTACATCATACTAATAAGCATTTATTATCAATTTATGAGTTAATGAATCTCTTCAAAGCAATCAAAACAGTATGTACTCTCCATCCTAAAACACATATATCTGTAAAACGTATCAATCCCTACATCTCCATGGTGCATAATGGAATTACGATAGACATAGACCTAAAATTATTACTAATTACACAATGACACAAAACACAAATGCTAAAGAAGTTTAATTCCACGGTCCACGCTATTCAAGGGCAACACTTATGTCATGTCACGACCTGAAGCAACTCATGCTGGTGCTTTATACTGTCTTGTGCTTTGAATGCTATTCGCTCGTGATTCACAATTATTTTTTTCGATAATTCAACATAATAACACAGAAATAAGGGACAAAGAAACGAAAAATCCGTTTTATTGACAGATTACTGCACGAGACACGACATGATGTTATTTTGTGAGCAAATTTAGGATCAACGGGATTAGCTAAGGTATAGTATTTTAAACACAAAAACTGCGCTAGTTTTATCAATAGAAAATACTATATCTCTGAACCACAGAAGCAAAGCGAATCTCAGGCTTCCGATTCTAGTTCTAAGAACTAGTTCGCGAACAAACTACTTTATGCAACACTACCACAAGTAATATACAGGGTGACTTTGAAGTTGAGTCATTAATTTTCAGATAATGATTGTAGAAGGAAGATAAACCAAAATATGTGCGTAAAGATAAAAAAAATTAAAAAAAATGTTACCTTGTTTTATAAAGTATCCTCCCGACAAGTATTTCAGTGCGGACCGGTATTTGGTCGTGCGGTCTTGGAGCACCGGCATGCCCTCCCCTGTGAGGTCTTAAGTCAACTGATTCACGAGCCCTTTGTACTACATTAACAAAGGCACGAGGGGTTGGTTGCACTCGATTGGGAAACCGATCCGCATAAATCCGTGATGCCGCGAAAATAAGAATCATGTCCACAAGTTCAGCATTTTCGTAAACATGTACCATTTTTGATTTCGTTTGAGCCACGCAACAGACACCACCATTCACTCACGCGTTACCGACTGACACGGACTGAATACGACTGAATAAAATAATTGTGAAAACATCGTTCCAAATTCTTACGCCTTTTTGTTTCCGATGCGATGAACCGATAAAGCGGATTATATCCGTTGTTACCAAACACGAGCACACAATATTATTATTGAGACAGCGCGGTACTCAAACTTCCAAAGGGCTATAACTTTGTTACTTGAATTATACCAGAAAAATGGTAAAGGAAAAAAACATTTCTTTTGATCAGATCTACTCACTGTTAAAATAAATGACTCAACTCCGAAGTCACCCTGTAGAAACACTAAAAGAATGAATATTCCAGTCTTTCAGTCGAGATTAAATGAAAACGATTCATTCATATTTTTGAACCGTTCCAATGCATTCCATTAATAAATCACAATGCGTTCTCCCAGCACTAATATTATGAGACACTAATTTCGAATGTCAATTCCTCAATATTAAAACAACAATATTTATATGGAAATTGGTTGAAAAATCTAGCATGTTGTGAAGATAGTAGTGTAAATCGTGGTCAACATAACCACGTATTCAGGGATTGCAGGCTTAACGAGTACAAGGCAGTGTAATATGTAATTCTGCAGAAAACAAATCTTTGATGGGGACTTTTTATATGGAAATTATTTTTTCCAAAATACGTCGAATATCAACATAGAACAAGTAACGTTGAAGAATAGACCACAGGAGTTAAATTATCGATCACAGGATGGAATGGTTGCGAATTTTGACACCTCTGAGTTGCCATATTTCGTCACCTGAGAGGTATATGGTCACATCGTGGTGGACTGTGATTTGAAATTTATTAACATGTGAGTTATACACGTTAGAGCTAAAAAGTTTCATGACACTGAAAATTAAACAAAATAAAAAGGTATATTTGCTTAAAATGAGTGAATAAATAATAACATAAACAATTAATAATCAAAAACAACAAATGAACAAAATCAATAACTGAAACAGTATAGTCAAACTCACGAAAGATAACTATTACGTCATACCATAAATTGTACTGAAGTATCAATGGACGTACGTCGATGATAAAATCACGATGTCATGAATTTATAAATATTATCATTTTGCGAAGTTACGTTATTGCACTGATTATTTTTATTTTCATTTTATTTCATGGTTTTAAGTGACTTTTTGTTTTGAAAAAACAGTTATGAGTAGAATGCACTTTAAGACATTAACACCAAAGACCAAAATATTATTTGAAAACAACCTAACCTCCTTTAACATAACCTAACTATTGATCTTTCAAATATGATCGATCATGCAACATGAAAACATCGTTTATCTTTGTCGGATACATGAAAATTAGTAATACAGTTTGTTTAGACAATAACATTCTGTTTGTCTCTGTCTAACATATTTGAAACTTTATTAAAAATATTTACCAGTCGCTGTCGTTTGTCTTTACTACAGACTAAAATCATGACGTAGTCGTCATATTTTGTGATTTCGACTATATTTTACAAAATAACATAATAAATGAAATATATAACTATATATATAATAAAACAGAATTTTTATATCTTTTTATTTTTTTCACTGTGCTTAAAATTTTTGAGCTCTAACGTGTATGATTCACATGTTAATATACTTCAAAATCAGTCAATCACGATATGTGACTATACTTAACACCTCTCAGGTGGCGAAATATGACAACGCAGCGCATCCATTCCATCCTGTCATAGATAATCGATCATCTTTAGTTTATTCTCCTTCTCCAACGAAACTGCAGTCTATGTTTTGTGGTCACTTGTGTTATTTGTGGATAATGGAATTTTGGAAGAACCAAGTTGCGTATAAAAAGTGCTTCCTCCAAGATTTTTTTTTTGCAGAATTACATACTACGTTGTCGTGTCCACGTTAAATCTGCTCTAATCTCCATATAAGTGGTTATGTTGAGTGTATCATGTACTATCACCGATGGTGCGACCGATTATACACTCAAAACAAAAGGAAAAACTGCAACTGCAATTGTATGTATGAATATTGAAAATCTTGAATAGTTTCGGACCGGTGATGTTAAAATGTCGTTGAGGAACTGGAAAGAAGTGTATGAATGTGTTGAAACGCAACACCTAACAAAAGTTTGATTGAAAAGGCTTTTTCATGTAAGGGTTTGGAAGTGCAAGTTTGCAAATGTAGGATAAACTATAAAGACACGGTAGGTGACGTTAAGTTAATATAATCACATATGGATTATAAAACATGGAGAAACGTTCAGCTAAACTGGAAAAAATGGATTTTACTCAGTTTTATATAGGTAATTTCATAATATTCAATAAACTAGACACATTTCAATAGCAAGCTGTCAAATCATATTTTACAGTGTTTTGTTTTGAATAATTTGATGCTATTTGTTGCCAAAAATTTGACGGAGAGATCTTGAGGCTGACTGGGTATATTTAACGGACTGTTTGGTAATCTTACCCTACTGGTGCCAAATAATGGGTTGTTAAATTGTGAAATCCACCCCAAGTCTATTCCATTCGACCTATTGCGGGTCAACAGTGTGCGGCTGTTTCATTCGATCATATGTATGGTCTAGGCTTCGTCTCGAGGTAGTACAACGAACGAAAACAGCATAGTATCATCTATCGAAGGTATACCTTTTTATACCAAAGCAGCCGCGCAGACAGAAGCCCATAACGCCAGGGCACCGCGGCTGCTATGAGGAGCTTAAAGAGACTTTGTTAATCCGATTTTTGAGCTGCCTAGGGTTGGTAGAACTGCGAAAAACCTCATGATGTAGATTGTTCCACAATCTTAATAGCCTAGGTCCTATCGGCCAGTTCTGGATGTACGAAGTTCGACACGATTAGGATGGGATGCCAAAGTTAGACGGGTTTATCTGGTAGGCACATCGCGCAGCGGTACAACCAAGGAGAACTCTGAGCAG